GAATCTAGAAATATGATTTGAAAACTGCTCAAATACAGTAAGGTCGAAACAAGTTGGGCAGTAAGATGACCCATGACTAAAATAAATAGCAAAAGCTTTAAGTCTCGATATTTTTTTTTGGCTTTACTCATCTTACAACCGTGAAAACCAGTTAAGTATCCTTCTAAAAGCAAAGCTACTCCTTTGTTGAATTATCATGCGAAATGCACTGGATATTTGAACTCAACATTAGAAAATGAACCAAAAAACAGATTCTATGAAGAAAAAATTATCGAATTTCAACCTCATAGCATTGAGAATGGATAAAGATAGTGATGCATCAATATTAACATTGGTATTGAGTTATTAGTACTAACCAATATTCAAAGTATTGAATTAGATTCAGATAGCATTCGCTAAAAAATAGTAAATTGTAGATCAAAATTATTAAATTATTCGAAACAAATCCAAGTTAATGTATTGAAGTATGATGGAATGTTTTAGTCGAGAGAATCTAGAGTGTTCGATTTAATGTGCTCAGTATCGATACTGAATATCATGTTTATTTTAATGAAAAACAAACTCCTGACCATTATAATCTCAAAGTAGGAACGGAATCGTTTTTCTGTTTGCAAACCGGAGATATCGCTTACCATCATTATAGATAATAATGTTTATAGAACTGTTTCGATTCTCTAGTGTTGATAAGGTGTCTGTGAGAAGAATGAGTCGAGGCAGAACTGAAACTCTATCTCTCAATTTTAACATTGTTTTTAGATCTTATTTCACAAAAACAAAAGAAACTAGAAAAAGAAACATTTTTGACTGATGAACCAATATCACCTGAAGAAGATGCTTATTATACAGAATGTAAACAATATTATCATATCACAAAAACGCCATTGATATCTACTTCTGATGAAATTTTTAAAAATGATATTGAATTAAAGTCATCAACATTAAAATTTGCTATCGATGTCGATTACAGTGAATTTGTGCTACAAAAGTTTTTAAATAAAATTTGCAACATGTTGGATATAGATATAGATGATATTGATATTAAAAAAATACAGAAGGGCTGTGTTGTACTCGAAATGGAAATTTTCAAGAAAATCGATTCTAAACTTCAAAAACTAAAAATTCTATTCAAAACACTGACGAATAAAGTTCGAAAGGAATTAGGTAAATTAAAGATTTTCTTCATGTTTATGGGTGACATTACATCATTAAATAAAAAACAACAATTTCGTAATGCAATTAAACTACATCCTGAATGGAATCTTACATATGCTAAAGATCATACATATTGGGAAGGTGCTCTCAATGATGGAATAGATCGTGGTAATCAACCATACTATTGTCCTGTTGGATGGAAAAGATATGCTTTGTATGTTACTGATCATTTTCCTGAGAAATTTAAAGGATGGTGTAAATGTTACCATGGTACAAAATTTTCATATGGTTTGTCTATATTATTATGTGGACTAAAACCAGCAGAAATTGCAGCACATGGTAAGGGAATATATGTTAGTCCATCGATAAACTATGTATGCCATCCGAGATATTCTGAAATTAAACATATTGAAACGCCAGAACAAAAGAAAGTTTTTAAATCTGGTGAATATATTCAATTCGTATTAGAATGCCGTGTTCATCCAACTAATATTAAAAGAATAGTGAAGGAAACATTGGGAGCTAGTGGTACTATTATTGATTCTAATATCAATAATGATATTATTGAATGGTTAATAGATGATCAAAATAAAGACGTTGTGGATTTTAATGATCCAGATGCTTCTATTGTTTGTACTGGATTAATGATACGTGTTACCGATAATCATCCTGGTCTATTACCTGAATCAGATTGGTGGTTTAAATCACATTTATGTAACACAAAAAGATGTTGTTGTTTAGATATTGATTTTGACGAGTTAAAACAACAAAAAAACAAGGCACATACATGTAATATTGTCTATGAATAAACGAAAAAAAATTCTTTTCTCAATGTAATAAATAATTTCGTTTTTATTTTTTCTTTGCAACATTTACGATCATCTTATAGCACCTACTGGTATATATCAAAGATCAGTGGGAGTAGTCGTCAGACACTCATAGGATTCCATCATTAGTTTTTAGTGTTGGCAAGTTTTCCTTAGTAGCGGTAGCCATATAGTCTTGCTCCTACTTTAGCTACCAACTTGGAGCATACTTCATTTAACTGTAGAATGAAGAACCAACAATTTATGACTCTGGGTATATCGGTCTATAACAAATTGTTAGCCAAGAACCAGTGTTTGATATACTTTGGCTCATGAACCATACCAACGAAAGGGTTAGTGAATAGCAACCACAGACAACTAGCAATATGGTCTGCTCGCATACAGTAGATAATATGAGAGAAGTGGTCAAAAAATAGTCGATTTCTGCTTCCCTAAAAATTTCTTCATTTCGAATAGCTTGCAAAAAAAAAAGTCAATGCATCACATTACATAAATGTATCCAAACAACAAAATGATCCGTGTTTACTCACACAATCGTCAAGAAAAACTTCGTTTCAGCGTTGAAGATATTGATGCCTGTTGAAAAACTGCGAATACAATCGGTACTGAATTTCACCTTGGCTAAACGAATCTCAAATTTCACATGAAATGTGAATAGAAATCTAGACAACAACAACAACAACCTGTTTGTCTCTACAAAAACAAAGTTGTACAATGCCTATGGTATCAGAAATTTTGAATTCAAATAATGTATACAAAGAATGTGTACGTGTAGAGAGTAAGTATCAAATGGGATGTGAATATCAGTCTTCTCTTCAAAACTTTCCTCACTAGGGTATAGATGTGTGGATAGGTATGAAGAGAAGACTGATCTGCGCACTCACATCATTCGTTCATGACAATTTTTATCGTGCAGACATTCATAGATGTCAATTGTGAAACTTAAATTTAACTATTTAACTATTGAATATTCGTGTCAAGATAATCAACTATTTTGAGTAGGAGAAAATAACTAGTTCAATTATTTAAATTCAATTATTGTCGAACTTTTCAGATGTTCAACTATTGAATAATAGAATACTTAACATAAAAATATTCAACTATTCGGAATAGTTGGATGTATTTAGTTTCAATTACTTGAATAGTTGAATTGAAACTTTACGTCTGGCAAGTAATAGCATGTCAAAAATTGAACTTGATATTTTTTTCATTTTGAAAAATGATCTTAGATATACTGTCAACTAACAAATATTATACACGGCTCAATCGTGAATTTTTATACTTATATTGTCTCAGTAAATAATTTATACGAAGTATTTCAAATAGCTAATTTAATTTCAGTTATGAATAATCTATCTTTTGATATATTGTATGAAAAAATTCTCTAACTTATGGAAATATCATAGCAATAGATATTTATTAAACACTCAATCATTATTTTCTTGACAGTAAGTAAATAGTGTTGAAAAATCGATCGAGACTAACTTTACCATAAAATACGGCAATCAGCTAAGCATTGGATTTTGAGAGTTTTGGATGATGGCATTTTGAATACATCTTTAAAAAAAATTGAAATTTTGAACAGAGCTTTGTTTCTCAGTTTTCTTATGGAAACTCCCTTAAAATAGACTGAAGATATTCAAAAAATAAGTATCATATGTTCATCTTTTGACACTTTTTTGTTTTTTTAACATCAATCTTTTATGTTAATAAAATGGTCGAAGAAGCCACTAAACGTAAAGTCAATTAAAAAACTCTGAGGCTAAAGCAAGATTTTATTAGGTAAGCATTTTTTTTCTTTTATTCATATACTGTAAAATAATAAAAAGTCAAGTAGTTCTAGTTTTGAACGCAATCTCTCTGATTATCTTTCCTCTTTTATGTTTTCCTTAAAACTTCAAAGCCCGTCTTATAACGCTGCTAATGGAGACTGTTAGAGAATTTGATGTTGCAGATTTGTCTCCAGATTCTGTTTCATTATAGGCTTAGCGTTCAAAGATTAGATTAACTTTGACAGTATCTTTAAGAAATAAATAATTTTTGAATCAGTAGACACCTCGTTTTCCTCTAAAATCTAATATTCATTATGGAGAGGAACTGAAAAAAATTAATGTCTCTTGTCATTATGTAGTGTTCACCATAAAGGAACACTTATACAAATTATCATTATATTCCAAAGAAAGTAATTGATTCATTAGGAAAGATTATTAATCATTTTCTTTAAAATAGGACTTTCTGCAATTGTTTTTGCTAGTGTAATAGGCAATACATTGAACATTGCTGTACTTGGTCAATATAGAATGCGACCACATGCATGTTCTTTTTACTTTATTGCGTTTTCTATGAATAACTCAATATAACCGGCCACTGCTCTCGTCGTTAGTATATTGCGTGATGAATATCACAAACGAATAAGTATCCAATCATTAATCTCATTACTCATTTTAGTATTCTTCTACCAGCATTATCACCATCTTTCATTGTACACGCGTCGATTAATCGATGGGTAGCAAGTTCAGAAAATGTATAACTACATGCTTTCAGTAATGTTTAAAAGGCCAAATGATTGATCGTTATTATTATAAAATTGTTTGTTTTACTTTTGTTTATCATATCACTCCTAACGGCTGATTAAAATACCAATGATATAGTTGGTTGTCGTATTCGAGAAGATACAGTCTTCTCTTCAAGCGTATAATATTTTTCATTTTATTTTCTTATTTTGTCTGCACGTTATCGTCGAACTGAAACTCAACTTATCCGAATATTTCTGGTTCAAGTAGGAATTCAAATATTACTTACTTTAGCAATATATGTAGTCCGCCTACTTTTATCTTTCTCTAGGATTTATCAGCCATCAAGAAATATTTTACTCAATATTTTTCATTTGTCGAGTTATGTTGCAAATGAGCCATGTGATACCATTTTTCTGTATGTTCTAACGTCTCGTATCATTAGGAAAGAATGTATTCAATTAACTATAAAAATATATACATGCTATTTCGACAATCAAATTCATGTAATGTGACGCGCTTGTAGTCTGAGACGCATGCGAACGTTTATATTTATTCATGAGTCTTGTCCGCAAGAAGAATATCAGTTCTTACATTATGTGAAAACTTTTATTTCGGCTTCAAATGAAATTATACATTACTAGAATAAAGCCATTGTGAGACAAACTTACATTCGTTCATCTTTTTGTTGTAATTTATTGAAACCTTCTAAATCATCTGCACTACTCCTTTGTTTCTCTTGATTGTCATGAAATAAAATACAAATTACTGTTTAATCTAATACCTATTGAAATCATTTATTGTGTAGAATTTATCAGAAACAGAATGCGATCTGACGCCAGTACGTTTGACGATTACTATAACACACGGACACGTATAAAGTCGCATCAATGAAAAATGATTCATTATCTTACAAGAAGAGAGATGATTAAAATTGAAGCTAAATTGGCTAAAAATCGCTATACTTTGGATCAATCGTATGCTAATGTGTAAACAAATAATGATAATAAAAGTGCAGAAGTAAACAAAACACATTTTCGAGGTGTGGTGTGAGTGTGGATGTGAGGGTGCTCAATAAATGCACCAACACACAAACGCACACGCCTACACCCGTGTCATCTACTTGCGGAGCAGTGAAACAGTTTCTGGTTATCAATAGACTACATCCTATTAGATAAAAAGGCTTGATAAAACATATTGCTATCACCTATTGATAAGAATCGGATCGCACTGAATAGTATTTTCATCGTAGTCAAATTTTGAGCGACAAAAAAATTTTGCAATATAATGGATATTCAAAGCTTCCAACAACAAGATCAAACAGAGAAAAGTATTTCGGTATGTTTGCGCAAGAGAGGGTGTGAGTGTTAGTCTTCACTAGAGTTAAACCAAACCCACACCCTCAAGTGTTGGTGTTTGGATACGGGTGGTGAGAAGTCTCAAACTGACATTCATCCAGCTTCATTATTCTTATATGAAATGTTCAAACAGCGTATGTCATCTGAATGTTTCCTATTCCTATAAGCATGATTACACTTCTTTCCTGGCTCATGAAGAAAAATGAATTCGAATGAAAATGATATAGTAATAGCAAATGATTTAAAAGGCAATCCAATTGAACCTAATCACTTTTATATCTCTGACTTTGTGTCACATAAAAAAAATATTTTTTCTAAAATTATATACGTAGACTGTTAAACTATTTTCTGAGAATAGCGAACCCTTGACAAAGTGCTTTTTAATATTCTTGAACGGATTTGTATTTTACTCACAAAAGGCTTATTCAAAGTAGGCTTGTTTCTTTTGCAATCATATTCTATCTTGAGTGAGTCAGTTATAGAAATCCGATGTAAAACATGAATTACAAGGGTATTAGAAAAAGACACACTACTACACCATAAAAAGTTGATTGTTTCGATTTTATTGATCTCGAAAGCAAAAACCGCAATCGTATGATAAATTTTTTTGCCATACCAAAAAAGTCATCCTTATTATTTGATTAATGTATTTGTTTGTTTCTGAAAACATGCTCAATGAGCTGAAAGTCTCTTATTTGGAATTACTGCCATTCCGCATTCGATAAACCAAATGCTCATATCTTATATATTCTATGTTTGAGCCTTCGAAATATTTGCTCATAGTTCTTCATCTATGAGTCAAACAAAAATTGTGAGCATAGATTGGGTAAAAGCATAAATTTCTGCTTATAAACTATTGTTCTAAAAATTCGAGAGATTCTCTCAATCGTTCGAAAAAAAACGAAAATTTCTTTCTGAAACTGTAGAAGTAATTTTTAATTAGATTGATACGGATCGATTGTCATCGATGAGATATTAAGTTGATCAGCTCCATTACTAATTGAATGCAATGAATCGTTTATCAAAAAAAAATTAAACGGAGAACTGGTGGAGATTTGCTTTTGTCTCTATTCATTGTAATAATCTTCCTATCATTGAACTTGTTTATACTTTGTTCAGTGTGTTGCATCGTTGAATAAACAAACTTTTCTTTCCTACATTGATTGAATATGTTCTCTTTGTTTTATTATGTGAAATTGCCAATGTAGATGGCACACACAAATACTGTTGCTGTCGTTGATATTTTGTTCATTGTGAAGGTATAAAAAGTAATTCTATTGATCATGATTACTATGATTAAAACCATGTCATAACTGAGAAACTCCTGTTCTTTATCAAAACATGCATTTTATTGATCTTTTTTTGAGAAAAAATTTTCACTAACTCATTCATAAAAAAAATGATACTCAAGGCTTAGATAAGGTAACAGTTTCGAATGGTTTCTCCGAATTTTCATGCATTTTTACAGAAAAACTCTGTTCATCTAAATATCATCAGTGATTAATGATTGCAATGCTTAATTAAAGTTTGCTTCGGATCTCGTTAATGATTAAATCGATTTCGTTTTTGCTGAGTCCAAAATCCAACAGTCGTCGACGACCTTTTTCAGCGATCATAAACCAAAGACTCTTTTGTTTGACATGTTGCGATTCAAGCAGAGCGATGGCTAGTGCTGTTGTAATGACATCTTTATTTTGATTGATTGTCGATATGAAATACGTCCATGATTTGCCTCCTGTCAATTGTTGTACTTGATCATCGGACAAAATCCATGCACCATTGAACGATTGTTTCTCAATCAACCAGCGAATAGAATCAGCGGCAGCAGAGGGCTTTCTGAGATCGGCAACTGTCGATCTAAAATTGAGTAATAAAATCGTTTCCTTGATAATATTCAATGCAACCTTTCAAATCTATTCAAGTTTGAGATAAAATATGTGTTGTTCATGATGTTAAAAATCAAAACAAAATATTATCAGAATTTAGTGCGAAATAGATGTTTATGATCTTCTTTTGTCAAATTTCGTATTATGTCTCGTGCAACTTCAGAAATATGTAGTTTAGCCAATTTTTAAAATCAGTATCCCGATTGAAACTGATCTAGAATGAATCTCTATTAAATATTCTGCTGCCTAAATGAGCTTTCCGACATTGTCAGAATTCATTATAATAAGAAAAAGCTCAACACTTACGGTTTATTGTCATAAGTTGTCGAATCAAACATTGTACTAGTAGAAACAGAGCTTGATTGTGTTGTAGATTGTAGCACGGGCGTATTAGCATTTATTTCTTCCATGAAACCTTGGTATGATCTAGTAATGTCTTCATTAGATCTATTTTCTGCCACTCTTGGGCGTCCTTTTGCTCCTGTGTATCCAGATACTAGTGCCTGGGGCATCCTTTCTTGGTAGTCATAGATTGACGGAGAAACAATCGGTGGCACTCGTGCTTCCATTGGTGGAATAAATTGTGGAGATTGAGTAGTGGGATATCTATTCTGAGATGGAAGATGTTCGCCATCTGTCGATATTTGAATAGGCACATATCGAACTGGTGCAGGGGTGCTTGTCTTCGAACGTGTTGTTTCAACACCAACAAAAGCCGTATACGGTGACAAAATTTGATGAGTCAATGAAAGATCGATAATACGCTGTTTGACTATCCTACCATCACTAGAGAAATAAAAAGAAATATATTCACGCGTTATTTTTCAGACTAGAAGAGGAATTGAACTTACTAAACGTGTTCCTCACTTCCTCTGTGTTGCAATTCTTGCATTAAAGCTTTAGCTGCCAATCGACGAATCGTATTTCCTTTGCGTACTTCAATACGGTTTAATGAACCCATACCAATTCGACCATTGTCAGTTGTAAAGTTCACCATTGCAGATTGTTCAGTGAATATGAAATTATCGAATAGAGTATAGACAAGTACACGTTCATTTGAATATACGGGAGGAATAGTTCTTGGCGCTTGAGAACCACTTGGCCACAAGCCAAACCATTGCAATCGACAATTAACAAATGAAGGTTGAAGAGCTCGTTGAATTTGAGTGCCTACGTATGTATCGACTCTGGAACTAGGAGGAATAAAAATAAAATGGCCATTTGTGGCACGAGCAAGACCTTTCACTAAAGAACGAGAAGGTGAATGGCCAAGACCAAATGAGAAAATGCGTGTAGTTGATGACATTAAACGGCACAGTTCAATCACCTATCAAAATAAGAGAATAATCGAAATTTATCAGACACAACCATTATGTGATATTGCTTTTCTTAAATACAAAACTGCCGAAAGGCTTAACAAAGATTTTTAAAAAAATGCAAATTTTTCTTTAGAACTTCATATGATACTAGTAGATCAGAACTTCCTTCAAGTGTTATTTACCTCATCTGTATTTGCAATCTCACCATCGGTCAAGAGAAACACTTGTCGCGATCGACCACTAGCCGGTGGACGATCTTTCAAATATTGTAATGGTCTTAGTAATTCTGTGCCACCCAAATCTGCGAGCATCGAATGTGCTAAATCTTCAGCTTGCTTGGCCGTTTTTTCGTCGTACAAAGTAGTCATAATTACATCATTGAAAAGAACTCGAAAATCTGATCCGAAACGAATTATATTGAAATAAGCACCCATAGGAAGACTGCGCACGAATAGAAACATTGCATCTCGAGCAAGCGCAATGCGATTCTCATCATCCATCGAGTAAGAACAATCGACTTTGAAAAAAGAAAGAAAATCAGTCCACCAATAATATGACAAAATTCATTTTCTCTACAAAATTTACAAAAAAATACTTGAAAAAAAAACATACCAATGAAGATAAATTCAGTTGTTGCTGTGATTGGATTTTGTGCATTAAGTATTGAGACAAAATTTGATTGACCAGGACTTAGTGCAGTAAGAATAGCAAGTTTTGAATCATTATCGTATTGTTCTGCAGCAACACGTACTGGACATGGACTCTGAGGCAAATCAATATATAGGATAATATCACGATCGAGTGCAATGCCTTCTGAAGAGACATCGATTGTTTGAAGCGATACGCTGACATTGAGAGGATGAGACATATTAACCACTTCGTTAATTTGGCCTAGGAGCAAGGTCGTATAAATAAAAAGAATAAAAAAACTGTATCATTATCAAAAAAGTATGTGTTGATACACGGCTGCGGAAAAGAATCTTTTTTTTTCTCAATGAATAAATACGATTTTGCCCTGCTCTAATATTGAATTTCTGACATAGGTCAGAAGTAATGCTAGCTGATGAATGTCATATGCAAAAGTCTTTCACTTACAGTATTCGCCTCGATCGACATGTGCTCGAAACGACATTGAATACGGTGAGTTTTGAACATACTGAGCTTGTGTTTCATCATTCCATTGCGAAGTACCAAATCTTGGATCATATCGAGGTGCAATGGTAGTAGGAACAACAAATCGAATAGAAGATCCATCGATCAAATCCAATTCTGTGACATACCGAATCTTCACTTTACATTCTTTACCCGGTGGCAGGGCTCCGACATTAATCTAAACATAAAATAAATTTATCAATTCGAGATGGGAGACCAAAAAGTTCAAGATACGGTCACCATTTTATGTCATACAAATTTTTAATGGTTATCTTATCGATGTTCTAAATGACTCACTCTGAAGGTATCAAATGTTCGTTCACTTTGTCGTAGTAATACAGCTGTTTGACCTTGTTGAATTGCATGTGTATACTGAGCTTCGGCTTCTCGTTTTTCTTTCACTTCAGCCGTTATCAGACGATCGTCAATTGTAGCTGTAAATTCATAAATAGCCGCATTTTCCTACAAAGAAATTTTTCAAATGGATTCGAATAATGAATAGACTTAGTAACTATTTTGTTCATCAGAAAACAAGAATCAATGATACAAAACATTGAAATTATGCATATTTATCTCTGTTCATGAAGAAATACAAGTGAGATCCTATTAAAAGCATAAATGCATGACTAGAAATCATCAATGTAACATTTCAAGTCATATAGAAATACATCAATTTATCTATTAACAAAAAACGATTTCACAATTCAAATCACTTTAAGCCATACCTCGATGGGAAATACGTAGATTGCTTCGATTGGATTACTTTCCTGGTTGATATATATTTGAGTTAAAGTAACATCGGCTGCATATGAATGAATCCATACTTCTGCAGATACATGACGAAGTGGTACCACCGATGAACTATTTGTTTTTTGAAGTCCCATACATGCTTGATAATATTGATCATCACGTGTAGAACGATAAATCGGTGTAATTGGTAATCGAAGACCAGTAGGCATGTTTATGTTTCTAAAAAAAGAACAAATATTCCATTAGTTTATTTGTTAATATCCAAGTGATAATAAAAGTTCTTTGATCAAAGAACATCATCAATTTTCAAAGCTACTAGTAGAACAGTCATTCGAAAAACTACAATAATCGTTTGTTTTAGAACCGTTCCTAAAAAAATCTTCATTCTTGTTAAATTCACAATTTGGAAATATGTGTGATGTGTGATTACAGAGAAAAGACTGAATGTTTTTCGTTCTAAACTCAAATAATACGATTTCACATGCCAGGAATTCGTTGAGATCAATCATTCTAATTTATTCTAATCACATTTTTGACCATTGACTAGTCTCTCTTAATATCAATTATTGTGGTTTGTCTAATAAGAAAGATAAAAATGAAAAGTTCTACTTTGATTTTGAATGTATCCATACTATATTATCATTAATGTGTTAGTATTTGTAACGCAAGTGAAACATCTGTGCACTCGAGAACACTTACTTTTGAACAACTTGTCCATTGATACATTTTTGTCGGAGGCGATCATAGACCACTTTCTTCTTGCCACAACGACATGAGATTGTTCCATTTTTCAATTTTCGGCATCGACCAAATGCTTCATTCTTCGATGGTTCGGTTCGTTGGATATGCGTTTCAGTCTGCTCTAAACACTGCACAACGATTATGAAAAGCAAAACAAGTAGTACAATCAGAATATTTTTCATTGTTAATGAATCGATTATCTTCCTGTTGGGTTGTTGTCTTATGAGGAAAAAAGTCGGTGACGCTAGCTATTTATATGATTATAAGTACGTATTTTTTATTTATATACCATTACTTGTTGAGTGGTAAACATCAACAGATACAGAAAGACAGAAATAGATGCTAAGCTATCTTTCTATTCCCTTTTTCTCGCTAGTGTTTGGTTGATACTTTGTAGTTCCCTGTGGTTGAAATGATTACAATACGACAAAATAGTCACTGGCGAACAGAAATGGTTGTCTACAAGTGTAACAGTGATCAACAGATATTGGTAGGGAAATTCAAAGATACTTTTAAAAACAATATAGAAGAGAGTTCATTGAGTTGATCTGTTTTAGAGGCATCTATTTTAAGTAGTGTTGATGTAGGATGTTCCATTTAATTGAAAAAACAAACAGTTTGACAAATGTTGACGAAGACAAAATGATGATAAACTCCGTAAGCATACGTTGGTGTTGGCATTACTCATCAGACGATGTTTACGTCTACTTTCTGAATTAATTAATTAGCAATAGAAACATTTGAGAGATGAAAAATAGACGGAAGAAATGAAAGACAGAGTCAAGTCAGAGAATATATGGTAAATGAGGTCAAATTTATTTCTCACTGTAAATTACATTATAAGCAAATTTCTATTTTGATAAAGATAAAGAACTTCAACACGGTGTCAATCATCTTTCATCTAGCACAGTCCCTCGACTTGAATCATGTGTGGAGTATGCAGATAAAAAAGAAACTCATCAGCCGTATATTCGAGTTGTAAGGATCAGAGATGCCGAAGATTGCTTTTTTTCAACCGATGGGTCAAACCAACTCAGCTAATTGCTATGTGGATGGGTTCCAACCCAATTCTAAATTTTGTTTTCAGTCTATGGGTCATAGGATTGCATTGAGTAGCTTAAACTCTTGTACTTATTTGATATGTTTTCACTTAGATGAAAACTAAATCAAACAAGAAAAGAATTTATGCAGAAATGCATATCTATTTTTATATAAATTACTTGTATAGTAATTTGTTCGTTTCATTATAGGAATCAACCACAAACATACAGGTACGAAGTTATGTTTAGATAAATGAAAAAAACATGATGTTCTTTTTTATCTTATTCACCTATCTCACGTGTAGATTCACATCTATCATTATTAATTTTTATACTGTCCTTCATGTTTATCATAAAAACAATCTTATGAGAAATATATTGTCAATAATCAACGATATTTTTTTAATTATATAAATATTTAGGGCGTATTTTTTAATCGAAGACTAAGCAATGTATTTTTTTTCGAAACAAAGTAAAAACTTCATTTTTTGATATAATAATTTTTGCTATGTAAATGATTAAATCAAAAAAAATATTAATGTAGAACAAGCTATCATTGTATCTTTGTTTTTTTTGAATAAGGAATAGAAATCGTTATGTTAATTGTACTTCGTTATTTATTTTTTAATTTGAGCGTGATATTGACCATGATTCATTTCTGACAATGCTCACATTCTCATAAAAATTTGTTCCATATAGATAGGTATGGTTGTGTAGCCTGAGTGAAGAGAAGGCTCATATTCACGCCTATATCCATGTCACAGGCATATCTATGCGTTATGGTGTTCTCTTTATCTTCATCACCGACAATTGAATTAAAATCAGTTCACAGGATTATGTAAAGTAGAAAACACTTTTATTCCTTTAGTTTAACGTCTAAAGTAGTAATCAATTATGTTGAATTATGAAAAAAGAAGAACAAACAAAAACATGAAAAAAACTGGACAAATCGTATATTGCCGTGCACCACTGCCTGGAGTTGATACAGTTGGAGATGAATGCTGGGTGGTGCTGGATGTAGTCATAGGTGTTGTTATTGTATCTGCTACTTGCACGACTGTATTGGCAATGCCACACATGTTCTTGCCACGCGCAATACGTATATAGCCTTGTTCACCCCAATTTAAGCCTATAACATGAAAAAATGGTACGGATAAATTCACTACGACTCAGTACGTACCCCAACTATTTTTACACAGCCAGAACGGTTTATCACCTTCCGTACCGTAGCCAACAATCTGAAGCTAAAACAAAGTCATTAGACTAAAGATTTAGAACTGTAATGCCCATTATTATTTACTGCATGATCAGGTATCGTTTGCGAGCAATTAGGATCGTCATATACTCCTGAACAGAAAGAAATAAGTATCAAGGAATGTAGAATATATTTTGGCACACCTGTTTGGTACGTTGCAAATTGACTGGCGTCTAACGTGGCATAAAGAGTCGAGTCTTGAATCCACGCCAACATTGTATTTTCATCTCCTGCGTTCAGTCGGTTGATTGTATCAAACTATAAGCAGCATAAATAAAGCTTTTCTCATACCAATTTACTGTTGGTTTATGATCTGATGAAACGGAATGTTTCATATTTACATTTATGAGGGCTCAAAATGATCGGACAAAAGCTTGGACCGCTACTTCTAAGTTCAAAATACTTCGACTCTTTTCGATTAAAGAAGAATTGTCGAGAAACTTTAAAATCTAGCCAAGTTTACAATGCATTTTCGTGTATACCGTGATAACGATGCCTTATCTAAAAACAAGTAAACTTTTCAAAGCCAAAACAACCAAGCTGATTTTCTAGGGAACTTTATCTCAACTATTCTTGGCTTCTTCAGACTCAAAAAAAATACTTTTTGCACTATACCAGAACACGTACTATCGGTATTTTGTTGAAAAAAAAGACATACCTGAAGATCGTTTCGCTTCAGTTTTAGCTCAATCATAAGATTGAACCTTGCTGAGTCTGAAAGATATAAGTGTTACAGTGCCATATACATACCGTAGCAAACGGCTTGCATTGATCTGACTTGCATGCCCCAAGAGTTGTTGGATAGTCAGTTTTACGACAAATGCCACTCATATTCTTTATACAGTCAAAAGGATCAATTGGTTGTGGACAACAGTCGTCTACTTGTGCAATGCTGCCCTCTATGAACTGCTTGGTGCGAATGGCAGCAAAAGTCTCTATCGTTTCTATTATACAATTGACAAATATTGCACTTAAGTAGTGGTCATTACACAAATGCTTACCTGTACTCACAATGCCGACGACATCTGTTGAGAGACCTTGATTATGAACAGGCGATATTACGCCTTTGACGCGCCAATCGAGAGCGTCGGGAAAATTCTTAGTTTGAATGGAACTTTTCAGCAATGCTGAGCGAGGTTCAAGAGGAGTTTTCAATTTATGAACGAGTTCCTGTAATTTATTTCAGTCTGTCATCAATGATATTCGAATCAAAGCAATACCTGAAGGCGTCGATCGGCTAAATTATTAATTGCCATTGTGAACGATGCGTCTGGATGAGTCCGCTGGTAAGAATACATTCGATTGACATTTTCAATAAAGATTTGTCTGCGTTCAGCTTCTTCATTAGCTGATGAATAATGTTTGTTGTAGTCACGTTTGAACTTTTCCCATTCGAATGACAAATCACCGGTGACCACAGCGACAAAAACAAGTAGAACAATAAACTTGTACAAAAAAAAACATAAAAAACACGTTTGCATTACAATCTCAATGAGAAATAACAACTCACCTTCATATTCATGTTTTTAACGTTTCGTTTACTGAAGTGTGTGTGTGCGTGTTAAGAGATAATGATATTTAAAGTAAAAAAAAAAGTGCGTTGATAAATGAATCTTTCATATCTATATCTTGACTTCAGAGTTTGCATTTTGTCGAATTGAGTTCTCATAAAGCAGCAGTTTTGTTCTTGCTTTTTCTACTAATAATAGATATATCAAATGGAGTCTTTCTATATAGAAAGTACCAGAAAAAACAAAAGTATTTCGAAATGAACTCAAAATGTCAGAGTTAGTCGATCTTTATATGGTGACTATTTTGTTTCTACAGAAACTCTTCGCTCTTATGAAGAGTCACAAAAATGAGAGTCAAACAACGACAATTTTTTACAAGTCTAAAAAATCAAACTCCTGCTAGCATGACTGATCACATCACAATTATATTAACCTGTATCAGGTTTTCGTTAATTGATTTGAGTAGCCGAGGTCAAAATGCCAGTAATCATACAAAATAATATTGTTTTCATGATTGCGATATCGAGTCATTCTGACTATGCCAAATGCTTGTAATTTTCTATTTGGAGGATGCGGACACACTATTTTACGCCCAAGAAATGCTGAAGATGTCTCAAAGCGAACATCATTATCATCTCTTCACAAATATGTTCTGGAGAATA